GGCTTTAGGGTTTTGGGGCTTCAGGGTTTAGGGCTTTAGGGTCTTAGGGGTTGATGGTTTAGGCTTGGGTCAACGAAGCCTCAAACAAAGAGGAATCCCAAATCGGCGCCACTGCAAATAGAAATCCTGACCCCAAAACTCTGCAAGCGAGAACCCTGGCTTTACCCCTCGGAACACCGCAAAACCGGCAAAAGACAGCAGAACACCTGCTTCGCTTTATGACGCCGGCGTCAAGAACGGAAGGTTTAGGGTTTAGGGCTTCGGGTTTAGAATGGAAACCATCAGGAACATGACGATGAGGACGAGGATGATGATGGAGAAGGAGGAGGAGGAGCCAAAACTAAGCCAGCTCACCAAGGTCCAACAAACTCATGGGCGCCTGACCCCCTAAACCCCAAAACTCCTGAACCCAAAAACCAGCAAGACCCAAAATCCGTCTATCCTAAACCTGAAACACTAGAACCAAAACGATACCCCTGTACAGCCAAACCAAATCCCTAAACCCTAAGCTCCTAAGCCCCCTAAACCCTAACCCTCAAACCTAAAAGCCCCAAATCCTCCTCTGGGCAGTCGTCGTCCATGTCTCGGTCTTCGGGCAACGCATCTGCCTCTGCGTTTCCTGAAGCTTAGGATCTACGGTTGCGGGTTGCGGGTTTAGCGTTTTAGGGCTTAGGGTTAAGGGCTCAGGGGAACATGCAGGGTTAACAGCAATAACACAGGGCGTGAAACGTCGGGAGCAGTTGCAAAACAGTTGACATAGTCATACCAACAATCGCAATGTTTTGACACAGACGACGACGGTCGTCCCAATCAGCAGTTGCATCACCCTTGCCATCGTGATAATCATCATCGTCATCGTCACTAGCAGCACCGTCTTCATGAATACCAGTCGCCAGTATAGTTCGCATTCGCACTGTCAGTCTCAACCTCATTCGTTTCTTTCCTCGCAGTACGGCAAGGACAATACCAACCGTCAGTATCATAATGTAGGGGCCTCACTAATTAGAATAGGGTTTTAGGGTATAGTATACTATAATAATAATGAGGAACCCCCAAAATGGTAAGGAAATTATTTAGACTCCTATAGTAAACCCTGAACCTTCAAGACCGTCCTGCATCGGCATGTTCTTCGACTGCTGGCTCCGCCTCCTCTGCCTCCTCATCGCCCTGCAAAAGTTGTATGTTTCAGGGCTTTGGGTTTCGGGGTTTAGGGTTTCGGCTTGTGGGCTTAGGGGTTCTAGGCTTTAGACTTTGAGTTTCCGCTTTAGGGTTTAGGGTGTTCAGGGTTTAAGATTTTAGACCCTAACCCCCTAAACCCAAAGCTCCATGAAATCTTTAAACCCCGCTTGCCCTAACGTGGTTGCACACCCCCTGAACACCTCCGAACAGGATTTATGGGTTTAGGGGTTTAGGGCTTGGGGTTAGGGCAGATTAGGGTTTGGGGCAGATTAGGGTTTAGAGCTGAGGGTAACTACTGAAAACGCTTAGTATACCGTAGTTATGCCATCATAGAATCATAGACCCTCAGGAAGAACACCTACCAGTCCAAGCCCGACATACCCCAGAACCGATCGAGGGCTCGAACCCAGAGTATGCACGGCACTATGACAGGAGCACGGAACTTTGAAACTGTGCCACCCTTCACAACTGCAGAACGGCTGCG